GAGATGAATAATATTCAAAATAGTTTGGCGGGTCAACTTTTTGAAGAGCTACTTATATTATCCAAATTTTATAGTTTGTTCATTATAGTTAAGCTTTTAGCTAGATGATGGCATTGATTGCTAGGTGGTTAGAAACTCTAATTAGTATTGTTGTAGTTTATTGGACTTTGATAGTAAATATTGAATACTTGAATAGATAATAATTTTGGTGTTCAATTGGTATATATGCTTATGTTGCTATTGTTGTTTGTTGAACACTCTAGTTGTATATGTTGGGCTGCTGTTGTTGTTGTGAAAATTTATAAGTTCAATTGGTTGCAAAGAAAAAGTTAGAATAGCTATTTAAGAAAAACATCACTTTTATTAAAAAAAAAAAAGATGTAGTTTATATTAACAAGATCACTTTTATGATTGAAAGTGATTTGATTTCTGGAGAAACTATGTCCTCTTTTTTTACAAGAAACCACATCCTTTTATGAGTAAAAGGAGAAACCACGTCCCTCATAAAAGTGACGTGGATAATTCAATTTTTTAATTTTTATATCACCCTTATCTATATTTCTCATGATAGAGATGTGAAATGTCTTTAAAAAGTAATGTAAAAAACTTTTTTTTTGGTAGTAGTGATTACCTTGCAACAATAACAAGGTGATGGTTGATTAGAGGTCCAAAAGGGAGAATCTATAGCATGAGAAGCTCTAAGAACATTTGCAAATTTCTTTAGCTTTTCTAAAACTAAAATTAAAAATTACAATCCTATCTTTCTGAATAAATTCCTAGTTGCTTGAATTTTTTCTTGGAATTTTAGTTCATCACAATGTAAGAGTGTAGAGAGAAGGGGATTAGAAGGAGTCACAGCAGCCCCCTAACTTTTAAATTTTTTTTCTTAGAAAAATGTAGGGATTATGTATTTTTAGCCCCTTAAGTTAGCATATTACAGAAGCTTGGAGACATTAGATAGAGTTCTTATTTTAATTCTATATGTAGTCATTTTTACATGTATAGTGCAATTGCTTCAATTTTTGAAAATATAACTATCATAGAATTTATTTATTTTTAATGAGATGATGCTACATTTGCTCTTTATAAGCATTGATATCATTACCATGTTGATATATTTATTATAGTTATCAACTATCAATTGAAAGAATTAAATAGTAAATTTAGTAATCAAGCAATACAACTTTCTAAGGATATATTTAAATTATTCAATACTCAAAAGAAATCTAAAAGTTTCATCAGTTTATTATTAGTTTATGTTAAAAAGAAAATTACTAAAAAGTTTATAATGGACGTGATAATGGATGATTTTTATACCATGAAAAATTAATAAGCAAAACTTAAAGAAATAAGGGTACATATTTATTTTTGTTATATATTAGTAAAATTAAATATAAATATATACATTAAAATATTTATATTATGTTAGTAATATATATATAACTTTCCTTGTGTTATCATATATGTCCTACTATCTTGACTGCTTTTAATTAGTTATAATTTCTGGCTTCGCCCTTAGTAAGGGCTAGTGGTACCCATTTTGCTACACCCAATCCCATTTGTTGGTTTAATTTTATTATTTTTGTTTTTATAATGCACTTGCTTGGTTTGGCAGTGTTAAGTATCAACACTTTCCAAATTATCATAAGACTAAATGGACACGCTCTATATAATAGGATACAAATCATGTGTGGTGGCAAACCGTGCAATGGATGGGAAGTAAAAAGCCTGACCATGAATTTTTATTTAATGGCTGGTAAAAAATATGTGTATAAAAAGGTCTCTCATTTGCAAACACGCAATTACGTTTTATTTAAAATAAAAATTTATAAAAAATATACTAATTACTAATTTGGTTAGTTAACTTATAAAAAATTAAAAAATTAATATTATATTGAACTATCCAGGTAAAATTTGTATTGGTCAAATTATTAATTAATAGACTTAATAAAAATATTACTCTTCCGTTAAAAAATTTAAGGCATTTTTAATTGAATCTCATCTCAATAAAGTAATTATTTATTTTTAAATTAATCCTATTTTTTTATATTTATCCCTATTAAATACCTACAATAAATATAAAGTCATTCATCAATAAGAGCACTTTTAAAAAAAATAATAATTATATTTTGAAAGATTAAAAATACCTTACATTTTTTAACATTTAACTCTTCACAACATATTTTATATTTTTTAACTAAAAAAATATATTTTTTATAAATTTTTATTTTAAATAAAATATAATTGTGTGTTTGTAAATAAAAAATCTTTTTATATACTTATTTCTTATTAATCATTGGATAAAAATTTGTGGTGAAAATTTTTCATTTCCCATCCACTGCATCATTGCACGGGCTCCCACTACACATGATCCGTATCCCTATATAATTAGTTGGTGGTGATGTGACTGTAAAGAGTGTGACCAGAAATGAAATGTTCACTCCTGTGTGCCGTGGAAACTTGTGAGTGGAGTAGGTGTGGTCCTGTAATTTTGTCTGTTGTCGTAGTGGATTCTATAGTAGTGATGATTATCATGTGACTTGGCTCGACCTAGTGTGTGTTTAATTTTTAAAGTTCATTTAATAAAAATTAATTTAATAAAAATTAATTATTATAATAAAATATATATTTAGACATTTTTTTAAAAGTTAGTTTGATATATTAAAAGTTGTTTGATTTGTGATAGTGGAATATACTTTTAAATGTATAATTATTAAAAAAGATATTAATTTATGATGATTTATAATTTGTATAATATATTTAAAATGTTTAAAAAATTTGATAAAAATTTTAAAGATATAAATTTTCATCTATAATGTTAAAAATTTGATCTCTAGTTATTTATATTTTTTTAATTTATAATTTTATAAAATGTGATAAAGATTTGTAATTTTTATTATACATTAATGTTAAAAATTGATATGATTAATTATTTAATTTATAATGCTAAAAATTGACACTTAATTATTATTATTGAAATAAAAATTATATTCTTAATGAATTAAATTTTTTTAAATAAAAAATAAAAGATTAAATTTAAGGTATTATGATCAAATAACATTATACTTTTTAAAAATTTTAAAGAGTTATATTTAAAAGATTCACTTTCTATTACTGTTTGAATATATTTTTACTGTTTGAATATACTTTTAGATTGTGTTTTTTTACAAAATATTTTATTCAAATAATTTTTAATTTTTTAAAGATAAAATTTTATTTTTTAAATATGAAATGGAAGAAAATCAAAAGAGGCTTTAATTGCCATGCATAAAATAAATGATCACTAACTAGTAAGCTAAGCTAAGGCCCACGGTGAATTTATTTCAATGCATACACTGATTAACTTGGCAGTAGCCATAGCAAGATTCTTCAGCTTCATCATGCTGGCCATGTATCATTACTGCTAAATATCTTATTTAATCATTGCTTCCTGGAACGTGTCATCATCAAAGAGGGAGGTTAGTATGTTCGAATTTTGATATAAATTTTATACTATATACTCCCTTCATTTAAAAATATATAACATTTTTTATTAAATCACCTTTTAATAAAATAATTACTCACTTTTAAATTAATTTTATTTTTTTATATTTATCTATTTACTCTTATTAAACACCCTATAGTAAATATAAAGTTATTATCAATAGAGATATTTTTTTAAAAAATAATAATTACACTTTAAAAAATTAAAAATGCCTTACATTTTTTTAATATTCAAGTCCTAAAAAAATATCTTATATTTTTAAATGAAGGGAGTATTATTATTTTACTAAGATAATTATATATCTCCTCTCACAAGAAGAGGTTTTTAAAAATATAGTGGTATAGTCTTAAAGTAATTTATTTTAAGATTGTACCCATTTTTTATATTTTATATCATTTAACAATATTAAATGTTACAGTTAATGTAATATCTTAAGAAGTATATATAATTATTCTATAATATCAAGTTAAAAGAAAAACTTATACTCTATTTAACCTTATATACGGAATGTACTTGTTTTTAATTAAATTAAGATATGTTTATAATTTATATTATTCATTTTATAATAAATTCTTGTTATTAATATTATAAACATACTAAAATTCACCTGTTTTAATTTAATTGAATAAAATTACATCAAATATATAAATGTAAGTGTCTAAGTCTTTTCCAATATCAAATTAATTTTAAGATTTTACCATCATTTTTCTAAAAAAATATTTTTAAAATTTCTTTTAAAAATGCCTAGAGAGATGCCAAGTCGCTAATGTGTATATATTATTAACAATATTAATCTAAAATGTAAATTTATGATAGATCAGATTATTTGTAAGTTCATAAATTATAAAACATTATTATTATTTTTTCATAGATATCCTCTTATTAAATACAATCTTATTTGAGATCTTGGTGAGTTTTAAATACGAACATCTCTCCTAATAAGAATTCAAACTTTATTTCACCTCATTATTTTGTAAAATTAACCTTTTTCATTAGCTCTAACCTCATTAGTTAAAATAATACTCTCTCCGTCCTAAATTATAAAACACTTTTAAATAAAATCTCACATATTAATAAATCTTATTAAATATACTTAACAACTTTATCTTTCTAAAATAAAAATATTAACTTTTAAAAATACCTATTATTTAATATATTAAAAAGACAAGGAACATAAATTAATTATAGAGAAAGAAAGGATAATATTAAAATTAATATATTTAATAAAACCTTAATATATTTAAAATGTTTTATATTTTGAGATAATTTTTTTTTAATATTTTATAATTTGATATGGAGGGTGTATTACTTGTCTCATGTCATCTTCCACGCACAGCATGAAGAAAAGTGCCTAGTTATTATTGAGGCAGGTCATGTGGAGTTGTTGTGGGCCTAATTTCTCATGGCTAACTCGGCTTAAAGGCCCAATTAAGTGTGACGAGATGTAATTGGGTCTCAGTATGGGTAGTTGTCCTTTATATTTCATGCGCTGTTCGATTTGAATTTTTTTGGGCCAAATTGTTCAATTTGAATTTGAAATTACAATAAAGGCTTGTTTAATTTTCGGCACAGAATTATTCGCATCCCTTCCCCGAAAGGCGACCATCTATCTCTCATTTCTTGATCTCTGACTCTGTTCTCTCTCATGGCGGAGGCAAGCTTCTATTTTCTTCGACATTATTGTTGTTATTTTTAATTTTTCATAACTCTTGTTATATCATGAAAATTAAAGCTATCTATTTGGATGTTTAGCATTTTAATCCCTTTTTGCTTATCGAAATTCATGTTCTTGTCCGTCTTTTTTGATTTCGCTGTTCGTGACTGCGCTTCGTTCCGCTATTGCCTTATGACTTTCGATGGTTGTTTCTATCTTGAATTATTTTTTTCCTGAATTTATTTGACGGATGTTCGTCTCTGATTTATTGGTTCAGTTGTGGTGGGAACGTGCTCAAATTGTTAGTTGGGTGTGCTTTTCTGACTGTAGGATTAGCTGCGGAGATTTTTGAAAACTAATAAGTTATTTTATTGATAGTTAAATTCATAGTATAATAGGTTCATTTTCATATCGGTTTCATCTATTGGGCTATAATATAATTGAATCTTATGTAGCCTCCTAATCAAGTCTTCTTTAGCTTCTGTTGACATTCACACAAATCATTGCATGTGGAGAATATAGGAGAAGCTGAGGTATGCTTCTAGTATCTTTATTCATTTATTTGGTTGACAGGGCGCCTTTGTCTTCATTGTGTTTCAAACCGGGGATCCTAATACTAGGTCACCCTCTAGCATTCAGTTGAAACCTGATTTATCCTGCTTTGTTTTTGAGCTTTGAACTGACTGGTGCAATAGCTTTCTATCCTCTTAATTTTTCCTCATATAATTTGTCTCCTTTTTTATTTTTTATTTGTTATAGATTGAGCTGAAAACAGCACCTGCTGATTTTCGTTTTCCTACAACCAATCAAACCAGACATTGTTTCACTCGCTATGTTGAATTCCATAGGTTGGTTGTCTAACACTGGCTATCTCTCTTAGCAGGAATTTGTTTCTAGATTTTGTTCTTGAACTTTAAAGTTTCATGACAGGTGTGTAGCAGCAAAGGGTGAAGTTACAAATGATTGTGAGAGATTTGCTAAATATTATCGTTCCCTTTGCCCTGGTGAATGGGTAAGTGGCCCTTAGCTGACGGGTTTACTTGAACTGACTGGATTTTTGTGTAAATGTAAAAATTTATAGCACATTTCTGATTTAAGACTGATATCATTGATGATTGCTAAAAGTTGATGATATATAACCCTCAACATTGTAAACTTCGTAAACGATTTGAAATTAAAAGATTTATGCATTATCAACAGAATTAATGAACTCCGTGTACGTTTTTGCAGTCTATTATATTGCGTGCGAGTTCCCATTTTGAGATGTTGTTGTTATTGTTAGGTATTATAGATGTTATAATAGTAGCTGATTAGTTAATTATTATCTGACCCTAGGAAATAGGCATAGAATCATGGATTTAATCCCTTTATTTTAACAATCTGTCTCCAAGCATTTATTTCTCCTCTTGTAAAAATATCTCATCTAAACTCTGTGGAATCCACAGAAAATTTTACCAAAATTTGTTGTCAGTAATCAACATAGCTATGCATGATTCTGCTTAATATCATAATTATCTGACAGCAATATTTAGTACATAATAATAATCCAGCAAAAATTGTTAGCATAATATGTCTTTTTCAGACGGCAGCATTACTTCTGAGTTATTCATACCAAGCTAGTTAGATTTATTGCTTTCTATACAAGTATGGATACTGATGGATGATGATCTAGTGAAGAAAGAACAACACATGATATGGGCCAACCCAAAGTTGAGAATATACACTAGAAAGGTAGGATTTAGGCATTTTGTATGGATGAAAATTAGATGAAAGCAACCAAATGAGAAACAGAATCTCTTATTGTGTCTAACTATCACAATTCATTTCCTGGTTTGATTCTCTTAGATTTTTTCTAATGAGTATATATGTCGGGTGCATAGAGTGCCAATAAATTAGGTTATGCGACTCTTTTCAGCTTGTTACATTGACGGATGCAAGTTTGTATATTTACAGTCATGGTGCTGATATAGATCTGGGTCACGGAGAGACTCCCGTAGTTCACTTGTTGGGAGGTCTGAGTCTGACATTCTTTTAATTGAATTTCAATACATTCTGAAGTAGTAGGTACAATTGACATATGATGAATTATTTTACTAAGCTGAGAGAATATTGGGCTGTGGGACAGAATGATATTGATGATGGATGGGCTGCCTTGAGAAATATCCAAGTGTGTAAGAGATGTGGGTGGGAGCAAATCAAGAAATCTATAGGAAGTTTGTGAGAAAAAATGGGAATAAAAGTGGGGCTGAGAAGGTGAGGGATAGGCAGAGTTTGGGATTCATGTGAGAGACCTTTAGCAGGCTTAAAATTCTAGAATCGTTTCCTTTCTCTTGTGTTTTGTCCATTTTCTGGTCCAGGCATTCATCATATTGCTTCATGTCCATAGCTTGTAATCTGCCGGTCACTTTATTCAGAACTATGACTTTTCTTTTTCTCCATAATTATCTGCTTCAGTTCTTTCACTCCTTTTTTCTCACTTGCTGGTTTTCTTCTTATTAGAAATGATCTAGAACTTGAGAGGTAACACATTCCTGAAAGAATGAGGTGGAAACAAACACCTTATTTGTCTCTGCATATACCCCCTTACAACTTTTTGTTAGTGGAATGAATAGCGGATGCTTAAGTTGTGAAACTGCAGGATTGCTTAAAACGCTGTGTGTTCTGAAAGATCAATGCATGTTGTCTTCATGCTTGATAATTGATACGTGGATCTTCTTTTTAAAGTCTCTCCTACTTTTTGGGGCATAATAATGTATTGTGCTGATTTGATGGTTATCTCACTTTACATAATTTTGAGATAGTGAATATGGTTGAGTGGTCTCCTTGTTATCTACACAAATATGCTCAATTGTGTATGTATGAAGTTAAATGTTAATTTCTTCTCCATATTTTAACTTTCTATTTGGACTAAAATGTTGCAGATTGAAAAGTGGAATGAACAGAGGGAAAGTGGAACTTTTCCAGGACCCCTGTGAGGTGTTATTGGATCCTAGGATACCCTCGTGAGGTGTGGGAATTCTTAAGATTGTGTTGGTTGATTTTTTTTTATATTTACCCTCATCAGGTGTGGGAATTCTTAAGATTATGTTGGTTGATTTTTCTTTGATATTTTGTTGGTCTCAAATCTTCATGTAGTCAAGGTGGATCAATAAGGCTTTTTGGATTTTCCTTGTTGCGAGGTGCCAAATTGCCAAAGTCGCCTATTTTAAAGTTGATTTGATTCTGACTAATGGAAACGACAACTTTTGCTTGGAACATTTGATTTTAAAGTTTAAGAGCTCCATCCTCTACCTGCACACTCCACCCCACGTCATCTTAAAAACGAAAGATAAGGTTGATGTTTACAGTAGAAAATTTTTACCGTAGAAAATGATGTGAAAAAGAGTTGAATGTAAAGGATATCTACTAGCCAGATATAACTACTGAAGTCTGTGCTGTCATCAAGAATCATTAGTAAATGTGAAAGTCCTTTGTGTGTGTGTGCGTGTGTGTGTGTGGAATATTTATTTGAATGTGTGATTGGTAATTGTGTGAATTCAGTAATGTGATGAGTAGACTAGAGTTTCTGAAAGCCTGCTATTTGATCAATATTGATGTGTTAATCCCCACGGTCCTTCCACATGTGGGATTTAAGCAGTTCAAAGGATTTGAGAGGATTATACTATTATTGTGTCGGATGATTAAGCATTTATTCTTCATTATTACATATGATCCCTCAAGTGACGAGTTATGTCCACCACTTGTATGGATATGGATATGCATTAACATAGTGAGATGTTGAAAGGCGAATTGACAGTTGAACAACCCATTTCCCACTATAAATTCATGATATGTGTTGGACCAGGTGCATATGCCTCTACGATGCTCTTAGGTTGTGTTTGGTTTTTTCGTTCTTTGTTTTTTTTTTTTTTTGGGAGGGGGGGTTGTTATATATTATGTTGTTTGGTATTGTTGGGAGAGCAGAGAGAGATAATAACTAATTTATTATTATGCCCACACACACATATATATTAGCTTTTATATTTTTAACTCCCATGTTATATAAATTAATTTACACCAAAAAAGAAATTTTATCATGGATAATCATTTGATTAAATAAATAATGAATAAACTCCCATAAAAATTTCCATGAAAGTTGATTTCTTTGACTGAACCATAGAAGTTGATTAAAAATTCTGAAAGTAACATACCATTGAATGACTTCAAGCTTTCACTTTCCTTCACGTCTCCACTGATTTCTGGTTTCTCAGTCTCCGTGAATGACTTCTGGTTCCTAACCAGCAAAATGTAGACCTCCTCATCCTCCATTCACTTCGAGGATGGACAACTTGAAGCTCAAAATTATAGTCTACAGCGAGCGTTGGTGACTTCCTCTTCATTGCATAGATTTTGATTGTGATGGCGGCAACTTCCTCTTCCTTATAGGGCGACCTATAACTTCATCTATATACAGGGGACCAGGGCAGGATGGATAAGATTGAAGCACAAATGGCCATAATGAGTAAGGGTGGAGATCGGGAGTTTATGTTACCGATGGGTTTCAAGGAACATGAGAAAATAGATGAGGGTAAATTGGTTAAGAAATTTGGCCCCCAATCCAAAAAGTCCCAATTTGATGGGGAAAAATGTACGGGGAGAAGAGGAAAGATTTTCACTTTCTTTCTCTTCAAAATTTCTTAACCAAATAAGGAGAGGAGAACATTTTCTCTCTCCTTCAAAACTTTTCAACCAAATACATATTTAGTATTGTTTTTTTTTCCTTGAGACTTTTTTTTTCCCCTTTCTAACCTGAGACCTTTTTAAGTTTTAATATTATTTTACCCATACAATTTATTGCTAGAATAATCTTCATTTTTTTGTGGCCAAGCCCACCTCCCAAAAAAAAAAAAAAGATTCGAGGGTTCATGTGATTGTATGGATTTTGCAGCGATAGCTCTACTTGTGTATTTGTATTTGAACAATCATAAAATTATGGTTATGCCACTGAGAATTCTTGTCGCCATTACAACGTCATCAACACATATTAAGATGGCTACAAGATTTTTTATTATGTGAAAGAAAATGTTAAAGACACTGTGACAATATATATATATATATATATATTGCAATGAGATCCACTCATATAAGTTCTATTCTCATGTTTCTCCTTTCTCATGATTCACGGTCGATTGTCTTGTTGTATGTAAATGGAGATGACGAGGACATATTTTAAGAAGGAAAAGTGAAATATTTAAAATAGAATCCTGTATGTAATTGTACTCATAGCTATAATTTACGGAGCAGGGATAACGCTCATAATCATCCTTTTAATGATGTAATAGAGTTTTACTCTTTAGGAACTGGTTGGCTTCTTTAATCTTCTCTTCTCTTGTAAAGAAAACAGTGCATGTGTAAAGGAACTTGCTAGAATATATTTCCTCTGTTCTACATTATGAGGGAAAAAGAGATAATATTATGTATACTAATAAAATACAATGATGATGCTCTACTAACTCAATTTTTCAAAAAATAAAAAATAAAAAATATCTCTATATATTTAATCATTATGCTATAATATTATATCAATTTTTTCTTCACTTAAAAAATAATATTGAAAAAAGTATTAATAATGAAACATTATTATTTTTAAATTGTATTTAGAGGATAAATTTTTTTTAAAATTGTTTTATTATTTGTGACAGAAAGAGTACTTGGTTTGATGATTTTGAAGCAGGTCATGGATAATGAGAAGAGACATATATATATTCTTTTATGTCCTTGCGTTGAACCAGTGCACGTGTTCCTCGACTTGACCAAGGCATTCTCCGCTCATGACACCCCCCCCTTTCTTTGTTTTTCCCCCCTCCTCCATCATGATTTGCCTCAATAATACAAGGGAAATAGAAGCCTACAAAGTTATCTCCTCCATCATGATTTGCCTCAACACAATGGAAATAAAAGCCTACAAAGTTATTTGCCTCAATATCACTTTCACATCCGCCTAACATATAAAAAATCATCTAAATCTTCGGTTAAGGATCAACTACATGTTATTGCAAGGTGAGAGAGTTGAAACCAAATGATGCCTCCGTAAAGCAGGCTTTTTTTATTTTTTTCCTCCTCCATCATGATTTGCCTCAATACAAGGGAAATAAAAGCCTGCAACTTTATTTACCTCAGTATTGCTTTCACATCTACCTAAGATATAATAAACTACCTAAATCTTTGATTAAGGCTCAACTACATGTTATTACAAGGTGATAGAGTTGAAGTTAGATGGAATCTTCTTGAAGTAGGCTGAGTAAAACTCAATATGATGGCTCAGTTAACAATTATGGTGACTTGATCATCTGAGATAATCAAGATAATTGGAGTAAGGGTTTTCCAAAATACGTTGGCTATCATCCTATTATCACTACAAAACTACTGGATATCCTTGAAGGAATCAAAATATGTTGGAATGGCAAGTTTCATGAAGTTAACATTTATTTTAACTCTCTTGAAATTCTTATACTCATTTAGCATGAATTCTCGAATAACCATCCCCTCATTAAAATTATTAAGAAAATCGAGGAATTCATTATAAGAGACTGGATAATAGAGCTGAAAATAAGGGTTAGGCTTGGAAGCCTTTTTAAATAAGAGTTTGGACTTTAAAAATAAATTTTTTAAAGTAACGGAGCTTGAGGGCCTAGTTTTGATAAATCCTGTAAAAAAAAAACCTCAGGTTTGGATGGCCCTTCAAGCCTTATTATACTATTATTAATTTTTTTCCTTAGCGGAATACACGTTTGAAGCCAAAAACTTGTTCACCTGAAGTCCTGATTCTACATGCATTATATTATTAATTTTAATTTATTCTAAAATTAATTTAATATAATTTAATAAATATCAGTGTACAGGAAAAAAAATTTGATATTTTTTATTTTTCTATAATTATTATATCTGTGTACTTATAAAAAATGATTTTTTTAACTAAAATTTGAATTTTATTATTAGACTTTTAAATGTGTGTTGTTTAATTTCTATAAGATTATGATAATTTTGTTTTTAATTTTCAAATATTTTAATTAATTTGTAATGCTTAATTTAATTTTATTTTTTTAAATTTTTTTAGAATCGAGCTTGCAGGCTCGACCCTCAGTCTTTCAAATAAGTGTCGAGCTTCAAGAAAAAGGTGAAATATGAAAAATTGGACTTAAAGACTCAAATCCTTGTGGACCTAGCCAATGACAATCGAGCCCGCCCGTTTTTCAATTCTATGTGGATAATCACGTTTGATTACATTTTTAGAAAAGTGAATAATGTGCTGATTTGCTTGCACATCAATCTTCATATGATAATCTAGACATAAGGATTTTTTATTTTCCACTCAATTGGTTTGAGATTTTTTATACTCTGACATGACTTGATTTGTCATATTTTTTATGAATTTTTTGTGGCTTTGTAATTTTTTTTAAAAAAACCAATGACACAGTATTAATATCAAGTTGCAAAAATAAAATAAAATAAAAAAGGTGAGAAAATAAAGGATGAAACCCAACAATGTAAAATAAGGCAATTTGAATATAATAATAATTAATAAAAATAATAATAATAAACCTTATCCTACTAAATGAAAGTCAGTTACATGAGTTATACAATATTTATTGTGCTCTATCAAAAACTTAAAAACTAAATAAAAATATTTTTCAAAGTTATAGATATAGGTTATTGACTTATTATTAATGTTTTTAAACATTATTATTTATGTCTTTTTAGACTTAGATGTTTGTAAATTTTATAAAATTATTTTTAAATCTATTATAACTATAAATATATTTTTAAATTATTTTTTGTTTTGGGGTCTGTAATTTTTTTATCGGGCACCATTTAAATTTATATATAAAATATGTTTCATTAGATCATTTATCTATTCATCCACTCCATGCAATACATGAGAAAATAATAATTCGTTATTATATATTAATACTCCCTCCATTTAAAAATATAAAAAAATTTTAATTAAATCTCACCTCCAATAAAGTAGTTACCTACTTTCAAACTAACCTTATCTTTTCATATTTACCCTTATTAAATACCCTATAATAAATATAAATATAAAGTCATTATCAATAGGGACACTTTTAAAAAAAGACAATAATTATATTTCAAAAGATTAAAAATGCTTTATATTTTTAAATATTCAACTTGTTAAAAAATGTTTTATATTTTTAAATGAAGGTAGTATTATTTTATAAAATAATAGACAACCAACTTATTAGATAAAGGAGATGGAGAGAGAAAAACTGAATAAATTAATATTTGAGGAAGCACAAGCAAGCAATATCACATTCATGCTGCTGCTGAACCAAATAGATATCTAAAACTTGCAAAATAACATTCATATGCGTCGAAATATTTAATATAAAAAAGGAAAAAACGGTATTAACTCTCCTAAATTATATAAATGATAATTTAATCTCTCAAAATGTCATAATTTTACTAAATTTTTTGGAGACTTTTGTTTCAATAAATTTTAAATTAGAAAGATCATTTTATCCTTTATTGACAAGTTGTGATTTCTTATTTAATTTTTATAATTTTTTAAATAAAATTTATAATTGAGACTTATTATTTTAAAAATTTAATTTTCAATAATAGAAATTACACTTAATAATTTATGATTTTTTATTTAACTCTTACAATTTACAGAACAAATTTATTATTTTTTAAATAAAAGTTGTGATTGGGACTTGTTATTTTGAAAACTTATTTTTAAATAATAGAAATTACATACTTGATAATTTGTGATTTCTTATTTAACACTTGCAATTCATTGAACAAAAATTGTTATTCCTTAAAAAAAAGTTGTAATTGTGGCTTATTATTTTCAATAAAAGTAAAATAATATTTTTACTTTAAAATTTATTGACACAAAAATTTTTAAAGACTTCAATAAAATTATAGTATTTTAAAAAATTAAATTATTATTTATATAATTTAACAAGATTTTGTTGTCTTTTTTCCTATAAAAAATGCATATAACTACAAAAGGCCTCAAAACGGGATACCGAAGACGGTTCCCACGGACAAATTTTTCCCCATTTTCTTTGCAAAACAAATCAAGAAATTGGATAGTATAATTTAAGAAAAATATAAATGATCATTTATATTGTTTTATTGTATTTTAATGTTAGTATTGGCCCTTATATTTTAATTGTTGTCGTTGCTCCAAATTCATTAAGTTTGCATTTGAATAGGTGGATTTAAGTTGAGAATTTAGATTTAAAATTTCATATTTAAAATCTTACATTTAAAATTTATAGATTCTAAATTCTTTATTTTGATGATATAAAATATTTTAAATTATAATATTAAAATTTTTTGTTTAAATCTAAAGTAAAATTTTATATTTTATATTTGAATTTAAAAAAAACTTGGACAATTAATCAAAGTCGATAATACGAATGGCCAACTTTCATCGGGATTAAATAGTCAAAGTTGATTGGGACTGTAGCACAAGCGATGACCGAGACAGGATGGCTGACTATCACCAAGACAGGACCGATGTGATGATAGGGACCAAATAGCTAACTTCCATTGGGACAGGACCAACAGCGACCATTAGAACTGAACGGCCAACTTCTATCAAGACCGACGGCAATGATTGGGACAAGATGACTAACTTCCATATGAATAGACTGACGGTAATGACTGGAATAGGATGACCCACTTCCATAGGGACTAAATTGATGGTGACGACAGAGATAGGATGGCCGACTTTCACTTGGACCGAATGACCGACTTCCATCTAGACCATCCTTTCTCGATCATTATCATCAGTTCAGTCCTAGTAAAAGTTAGCCATTCAATCCTCGTCGGCACTATCATTCTGATCACGATGGAAGTTAGTAGTTTGGTCCTTATCATTGCAGTTGTCGTCGGTTCAATCTTAGTGGATGTCGATTGTCTCATCTCGATTGTTTCTGTCAATCTAATCCTGGTGGAAGTCAGCTATTTGGTCATGGT